ATGTCACACAAAGAATAAAGATGATTTATTTTCTATGTATCAAAAATGTTTAGTCTATTCAAGGTTTACTTTCTACCTCAACCGACCCCTCCCCCCCCCCCACGAAAGATTGATCATTCTTAAATGGTTTGGGGCTGGTTTGTGTTTAAGTTTAGTTCTCATCTCCATCAACTCTGACACTTCCAAAATAAAGTCTTATTCTCTTCACTATATATTTAATAGACTTACAGATTTTTCAGGCCAAAAGAGGCAATCACAATTCAGTACGATCCCTCCTCCCATCTAAACACAGACATTGAATTTCAACCAATTTTTCCTGTATTGAGCACAATAACTTGTGATTGAACTAGAACATATCTCCTAGAAAGACGTTTAGTCTTTATTTAAATATTCCACGGGATAGAGAATTTATCAAGAACCTTAACAATCTGTTGGTTAATCAACCCTTTTTGTACCTTCTTTCCTGTAGGCATTTGTCCAATTTCAACTTCCTGCCACTGGATCTTGTTATGTTTGTCTGCCAAATCCTCTAGTATCAGACATCTTCTTTCCGTGTATGTACTAAGCATGATCAAGTTGTATCAAATATTTTTTCAATATCCTAAATACACCAAGCTCCTTAATCTCCCACTAGAAGGCTTCACAGCCCATGATTCATTTTGGACAATTCTGACTTCAGTCCTTCATAGCTCTTCTTTATTCGTACACTTGATTTATCCTCCAAACCTCTCTTCTGTTCTCCTCTGCCTATGTAAATTCCTTTCCTTCACTTTGGCTGTGTCCAGACTCAGGGGTTTTTTCGAAAAAAGTAGCCTTTTTTCGAAAAAACTTCCCCTGCGTCTAGACTGCAGCCACGTTCTTTCGAAATTAAATCGAAAGAACGCGGCTTTTCTTTCGATGGCGGTAAACCTCATTTCACGAGGAAGAACGCCTTCTTTCGAAAGTTCCTCTTTCGAAAGAAGGCGTTCTTGAATGTAAATAGGGCTTCTTCGAAAGAGAGCATCCAGACTCACTGGGTGCTTTCTTTCGAAAAAGCAAGCCGCTTTTTCGAAAGTTCCACGTGCAGTCTAGACGCTCTCTTTCGAAAGAGGCTTTCAGTCTAGAAAAAGCCTCTGTCAGCTCTTTCGAAAGAGGCTTGCAGTCTAGACATAGCCTTTGAGATTCTGAAGCATCCTCTTTCTTAATATACCATGTAGTCTGTCTTTCCTCATTATAACCTAGCTCCTTGCATTCACACTTCCAATATTTTTATTTTACTTATGTCTAGAGTAACTGGCAGACAGATCAGTATTGTGGCTACAAGTGACTTTTTATCATTACAATTCAATTTTATTAAGTATTTGCATTTCAAACAAAAATTACATTCTTTTGTTGCTGTCAATTCTTTCCTTCCTGTAAAATTCTCACCCTTTTCAACTTTTTTTAATTAAAACTCTGCATTTTATCAATTCCTAGAAAATTCTAGGTTCACACACACCACTCCTAACATTGGCAATATACAAATGAAGGAATTTTACTAAAAAATTTCCACTGATGCTATCACCAGATGCAGCTGCAGTTAAGCCTCCTGAGCATATTAATCACTCCCCCCCCCCCCCCCGGAAAAAAATATTATAGGGTTTGGCCATGAACAAAATATTATAGGTGTATGGAGATAACTATTTTATCTTCTCCATTATGCATATGTCACTATGAACATCACACCTATTATGCTGCTCACCACCTTCTTTAGACCTCTTTTAGTATTAGTATTTTCCAGATGTATCTCATTAAATTGCTCTTTTTGGGATTACTCCTCCTCCAGTGTATTAACTTGCATTTTTCTATGTTGCAATTTGACATTTTCTATTAATATTTCTAATATTCATGTTTTCCATTATTACTCAATTTCATGGATTTAAGATCTGTAAATTTCACTATTGTTCTGTGGCTTTTACCTTCCTCTAGGGCAAGACAGCTTGCCTGGACTGCCTTCTGATTTATCATGCTTCAAAGGAGTCTACCCAATGTATTGTTTGGATTTTTGGGGGGTTGAGGAGACAAAGAGGTAGCCATTTCAGCTCCTGTTACAAGGGATGAGAATTCTCCCCACAGGAGGCACCTTTGTAAGGATGCTGCAAAGGGTGTGTCCTCTATCCCTGCAGACCTCAACCCTACAAACACAGTCTTCATGGAACAAGCAATTCTGAAAGCAGTTTTCCCTTAAAGCCAAAAAGTACTGCAATTACACCAGTGTGAGGGGATATCCTTAGGAAAGTAGTCCTTGTCCTGCTGTCTGGAGCCATAGTCTCCAAAATACAAAATAAATTGTGCTCTTTCAATTGAAGTGACTGAATAAAAAGAAATATTATAGATGAACAAGTGATCACAAGACTAAAGATTCCCTTAGTGACTAGCTATATAAACAGAGGCACGCACATTTCTCTAAATGTACAATGTCATCATTTAGCAAAATTAACAAAATTACAGTGTGTTAGAATTCATTAAGTATGCCATTCCCAATACAAGTAAAACATTAAGGTAATCAATAGGTTATTATACAATGAAAAGAATACCAGTTATTAAGCTTTATAGTTAAAATATTGCTCAAAGCCAACACTTAAAAAAAAAATCACATCTTTTTAAGTATACATTTTAAATATTCTAACTTCTCCATAAAATGGTCTTTGGGACATAAAAATGAAAAGCTTTTCTGTACGTTAAATAAAAGCCTCTTGCAGATC